AGGAGTTGTGTCTTAATTATTCGCTCCATCACCTTGGAAAGCAAGGAAGTTATCGCGATAGGCCTAAAGCTCGATGGGTCCGACCGGTCACCCTTTTTGGGGATAGGGTGAACGTGGGCGGTCTTCCATGAAGACGGAACCCTGTTAGTGCAATAAGAGAGGCCATACAAACGCGTTAGCGCAGGTGTCAGCTCAGGGGCGCACGTTTTCAGAACTACTGCGGGGATGCCGTCTGGCCCGCTCGACTTGGACTATGGACGTCCAGGAGTCGAAGCTCCCACCTGACTGCACACTGTGTGAAGCAGATCTCCGCCAAGGAGCTATCACACCGGGGGATGTTCGGTGGTGTAGCACCCCCGTCGTGCACAGTCGAGTTCGAGGCGAAAAGTTTGACCAGAAGGTCAGCCTTCTCATTCGCACTGTGAGCTAGACTGTCATCGGACTTGCGCAGACTAAACCTACAAAAGTTTCCTTTTGCAGATTTGGCGAACGACCAAAAAGCACGGCTCCTAGAGGGATAGCTCTTTAGTCACTCGCCAAGTCTAGCAACGTGGTCCGACTTCGTCTTGGCAATAACCTCCTTGTAGGACCTGGAAGCGCCGATATTTCCGCCTTTGCCCTCCTCGTTTGACCTCGTTTGACGACCAGGACGAGAGAGTGGTACGGCAGCACGGATAAGGCAGTGATCAGACGATCCAAGCGGAGCGTCGACCACCACTGTATCCAGAAGAAGAAGGTGGTCAGCAGAAGATCCAACAGAGAAGGCTCGTGCCCCTCAATATCTGGGACACGGGTGGGCTGTGTGACCAACTGAGAGAAGCCGTAGGCCAAGGCGAAATCGTAGGCAGCCCGACCCGAGAGGTCGGTGGTTCTAGACCCCAACCACTCTTGGTGGTGAGCGCTAAAGTCTCCAAGAACCACCACCTCAGCAGATGGGTACTGCTCAAGCACGCGGCTAGTCCCCTCTTGCACAAGCTCAAACAGAGCTGAACCTGCATCACTGCTGTGGGACCTGTACAGGCACGCGTAGACTCGGGTACAGCCCCCGTGATCCATGCGCAGCCACAAGAGGGACAGGTCCCGTTATTCAAGGCCCTGAAGGCGGTGACAACATACATCAGCCCGGACGAATACGCACACCCCGGCTTTACGCAGGAAGTTGTGCTACAATACGCAGCCGGGGCATTTTAAGTACGATGTATCATCCGGAGCAGATATCTGTGTCTCCATCAGAAACAGTAGGGCAGGCTGCGCCGTCTCAAGGTGGTGGTGTACGGCGTCGAGGTTGCTATGTAGGCCCCTAGCATTGCTGGAATCCACATTAAATGTAGAATGGGGAATCGCCGATGCAACCCTATTTCTTATCTTGACCTTCATGATAAATGTTTTTGGAGAATGGGATAGGGGAGGTGTTCGAAGTGAAATCATGACAACACCTGAATAAAGTACGGATCATAGTGTGTGGTCGATCACGGGTTGCCTGAGAGACATGAAATCTTTTCTTTTTTATTAATTTCGGAGGTATTGCTGTTGATGTTACCTACATCCTATACCTATGCATTACAGATCACATCGCGACGATGACCGCCTGAGCGTGCGAGGACTGCTCGCGACGGTTTCGATCCCACGTAGCCGTATGTCGTACGTAAGTATCACCCCATCTACCCCAAACGGGATGATTACTTTTGGGATGTAACAAACTTTTATAATAATTTAATGAAGGAGCTGAAACACCTGCCCACCAACAATTACCGAGGAACATTAAACGGATGACAACATTATGTCAAAATTCAAATCATTCAACAGGTACCAATTCGTCTAAGCACCCCACTTAACCACTTAACAGACACACACGAACGACTCTCAGATGGAAGCGTGACGTCGCGCACTCTTGCTCCAGGTCGGTCGGCAGGTCGCGACCAGCCCAGATGAATAGTAAACAGACCAGTGTCTACATAAATCGAAATATTGGACGGAAAAAATCATTTTATTATTTTGTTTTTCTTTAATGATAATTCAATTTTTTCTGAACTGAATTTTTGATCCAAAATACTAAACTTGGTTATAAGAATAAACCCAACATAGAGTATGGATCTAATTAGTAATAATTGATGGGTATCGACATAACGGCCCGAATACGCTAAAGGCAATCAATGAAGGTTTCCATAACGTTCCATAACGTTTGTGTCTTCACGTTTGATGCTGGTTAATTTGTCGAGAACTTATTAGACTCATGTCTCAAGATGGGTGGCGACATTCACGTTGTGATATCCATGTCCACGGGTCCGGTCGCTAGGTGCCGGATGGGCAGCGAGACCGTTCGTTGTTAACAACTTGTTTTATAAGGATTCTAAGAGAATTTCGTACTACTTTTGTTTTGCTCAGATGGGTGTTCGAGTCCACGACGGCCCACCTGATGTTAAGCAGTTACCAGAGTCCATAGACATAAACAAAGTAAACCTACTTTGAGACAAGAATTCAATCCGAAACGCATTACTGCTTCACGGCAGAAATAGGCAGGCTGGTGCTACCCGAGCCGGCTCACAAAACCACCAGTACAATTCTATATATTATTATATTAAAAGATAAGTTCACTTTCTAGTTTCCGGCTCGGATCTAATACTTAATGTTCTTAATATTCAAATTTCGTTAAATTCTCTACAAAAATACATCCACATTAGATAATGGGCACAATTAATATTATGTGACACAAACGACCGCTACATGTTGGTGTGACGTGTCATTCTATCGGTATTCTGTCTCCCATATTCTAGAAGTTGACGATCGACGTCTTTCCTACACCGTATCACGCGCTGCCAGGGATGTTTACGAATCGAAATAACTCATAATAATTGGTAGATAAACTAATTTGAAACGCAGTTGCTTGACCTCGGACCTGCGCCCCGAGATAAGTGAAATGACTCAAAATGATTCATAACGAATTTATTATTAAGTTTACAAGTAAGTATCGTATGAGTTCACGTCGCAAATTCATAAAATGAGACTTTCGGTTGGGCTAAGTTTTGTAGGACATCGGCTTCTTAACACGTGTATCGCTTTAATTGTGTGCCTAAAGACATGTCTCATAGTTAGGGGAGCCCGCGATATTTAATAGACTACGGCAAATTTGTAAAATATTCACGATTACGATTGTTTTTTTTCCCCTACTTATTTCTTATTTCTAGTAACCTTGAGGGACTATGCTAGCTTCACGAGCTCACCGAGCTCAGTCTAGGAGACTTTGCTAACATCTGCCATAGCAGGCAGTGCTGCGCTAAATCTACCACCGTGCTGTGGCTGTGTCTATGGGTATAGTTGCACGAAGGACCCTTCGTCGCATTTGACGGATTCGCCGAGAACGGGCTACGGTGCTCGGAATGGCTAAAAGCACCGATTGATCGGGAGGATCCGAAATGACGTGTTTAGGGATACGGTCACTTGGGTATATAGTTTGAAGTGGACACGATGAGAGGGTGGTCGTGTCGCACCACTTGTACAATGAAACAGCTTTTTCCTAAGATTCTTGGCTGGTCGCATTCGAGAAACTATCCGTGTGTACGTCAGCGCCTATCGGCACTCTACCTAATTAGGACAAAATGTCACAAAGTGTAAAGATGCGATATGTGAAATAAACAAACCGATAAGAAGCTTCTAAGAAGCAGATGCTTTTCAATAAGCTAATTGTGAAACATACTGTCCGTACGTGGTATCTCCAAAATCCGTAAGCGACGGTGATTAGTGATATTTTTAGTGATATTTAGATTAGTGATATTTAGTACTAATATGACCAGAAAATGATAAAAAAAATAGATTCTGAAGACTATGTCCTCTAAATCCGGTATGAACGCACGCTGCGGGCGACGCAGCGCCGCGACGTTCCTGTGAGTCAGGGCGCGGCACCATACGGAGGCCTCAGACAGTGCCATGGACCGCACTATCCCTACGTAGCCTAATGGGCTACCACGCCGAGACGGCCGACATTAAGTCGTCGACTATCGCGTCAACAACCCGTCAGTCGGGCGTCCTAGGGGTAGCTCTCCGAGTCTGGTTGTAGTGACGGCTGGGGGAACCCTCCTACTCTGCCTGGGTTCTGACCCGGGGTGGGGATCTGATGTCGGGTAAGAGAGTACAAGGGCAGTCGTTTGTTGGGTAGGGCCCTAAAACAACCTTGGGCCCGCGGTCTGTTCCCAACATCTGCAGACCGGAAAATCCCACATACCTCGCGTGACCAAGTAGGCGCGAAAACCTCGTATGAGGTTGGGCACCATGCCCAAAAACAAATTGAAGACTTCAGGTCAGATATCTAAAAGGCTATAGTACCATAGACCATATTCCTGCGGCAAGCAATACAAAAAACCGAGGAATGTAACCTGCCGTTTTATTTAGACTTTGTGGACTTTTTTGATTCGATGGAGACCCGGGCCGTGTTCAGTCTCCAAATTGATGACCGGTACATCGAAGTGTTAAAGTGTTTGTATGAAAGAGCCACTACGTCAGTCAGATTACAGAATCGGACTTCGTAGTCATTCTCCTGCAGCGGAGCGTGAGACAGGAAGATATCATTTCTCCGAAACTGTTTACCACTGTCTACCGTAAAAGACCACAGTACTTTGAGAAACAACAGTACTTGAGAAATCATACTCGTTATTTGAAAAAACAAAACAATTTAGGTAGGTAGGTATAGTTATTAACAATAACGGATTTTGTGGTTTGAGTTCAATTGCAGCTTTGATATAAATCAACTACATACAACTTCATATTAATTTAGCAACAGGTCTGCTGAGAGACCATACATTTCATTACGTTACCATAAAGTTAATTACTAATGTTTTTTTTCCAATTTTCTATCAACAACACAGCTGCTACCTTCAAGTACTGTACGTTACGTACATACGTTCGTGGATAGGTTTTAAAACTAACATTAGCCACAACAAGAGCTCCGTAACGAGCTGCGGATGTACTTTACAGTAAATACAATGAAGTCAATTATTATATTTATTTATACTTGCACTTAATTCATTAATTCTCACATTTATATTTGATCAAATTAATATGGAATCGGCAAGAACTCCGCATCGTCTCTGATGTTGACAGCGTACGTGGTCGCTTCTACAGCTTTCGCGATCTCATTGGTCTTCTGGGCTGTCTCCAAGCCGACGTCAACGTCCCGCACGTTGCTCTCGGTGGTGAACTCCATCTCTTCACGACTTACATTCGTAGAGGTCGTCTCAGTGGGCTCTGCAACTGGCCTCTTGCTATCCTCTGGCTGCTTTTGCTTCAGCGGGAAGGTGATTTTCAACACGTCTTTCTCGTAAACCCAGCTGCCTTCGGAATTCACATCCCAGGGAAGGTTCTGTATTTTCAAGTAATGATTAAAAGCACTGTTAGCCTGCACCATCAGCACTCCATTTTTCGCTTTCACGTTGATGTCTTTCTGTTCGTAACCAGGCAGGTGAATAGATATCTGATACTTGTCGCCTTCCACGCGTCCTTCGTTTATAATGCTGGGGAACTTCAACGACAGCTCCTTCATCATGTTGTCCAAGTGTTGCATTTCGTTGGCAAGGTTGGACCAAAGCGAATGTGTGTCCAACATGCTTTCCCGAACGTAAGGACTGAAGGGGTCGTAATGGTGATACGGCCAATGTGACGAGCCATGGTAGTACTGTGGCGCGGCCGAGACCGCCGCCAGCAGTCCGCACAACACTAAGGCGATCATTCTCGTGGAGCGTTCAACAACTCTCAAAGTATACTAACTGTGCTGTGTAGCTTACAGCTCCTTATATTCAGAGATGACTAGACCTTTGTCGAGGGGTTATCGCTGTTATCTGTACATTCTGGAGAAACAACGAATAACAAATATGTCGGCTCAGTTCTCCGAATTCAAAGTTTACAATGAAATCACTCAGCTCCATGCGTCTCTACCTACATTCGGAACATATTTTAATAATTATAATATATATTTATATTCATTTAGAAATAGCAAGAAGATAGAAAAAATCAGTATGAGCTCATTAACATGTTCCACACCCTACAGAACATAGGCACGTAGTAAGAAAACTTATTGAAGGGTGCCTTTTTCCGTTCGACTAGTACGAATAGTTTGGAAATTTTTCTGCTTTGCAAAATGCGTCTTAATTTTCTCATTGCATCTTTTGTAATATCTCTTGCACAATGAGAGTAGAGTTACCATCGTTCCATTCTGTTATTACTGGGCAAATCCGTAAATGTCATCGTTGAGGAGTGGGCGACCTAGAGGATGAAGCAGGTGCCGGCATCAAGCGATACGATTGTACCGGGATTCGCACACCGAGGGAATCTCATTTTATTTGAGGAAATACCTACCTTAAACATATAGGTAATGGAAAGATAAAAAATTTATTTGCGTAGTTAGTGTTAGGATATAGTGCATGCCCGCACGAGTAGTTATCACCTACCAGTAAAACTTTGCCCAGCCCATACCGTGGGCTTGGAAGGCTAAGTGCTTAGACGTTACCCTCGACAAGGGGATGACATTTGGGCCCCACATTAAGTACGCGATCGAGCCGCGTTCCTACTCGGTCGACTCTACCACAATATGATCTGCGAGTAAAGTAAAGTGCCCCTTCATAAGAAAGTGACACTCTACAAAACTTGTTTAGGTTCTGCCTACACTACACTTGCATAGATGACCTACCTATTCGCTCGCGAGGCCCGTACACACATTCACTCTCTTCAGGTCATCCAATCCAGGTTCTGCAGGATAGCCGTCGGAGCACCGTGGTATGTGAGATATGTATGTAGATCTTCACGACGACCTGAATCTAGTACCGATACTAAAGTGACAAAAACTAAAGTCTTCACATGTTTTGAATTTAAAATGAACATAAAGAAATGATTATCACTTTGTTCATCAGGTACTCAAGAAAAGTAACTTTATGTAACATGTAAAGTATATAAATCCCTTGTACATTCGAGTACTGAATTTTGTATTTAAGTGACCAAAGCCACAACCTCTTGGCTTGTGGCATTAGTTTGTTCTTCCATAAAAACTAAGCACTTAATTTACAGTGTTTTTTGGAAAGAAAAGAATATTATGAACAATCTAATGAGTTCATAATTCACCGCTTATATTTCGTAACCATAATATAATAAGACAGGGAGATCATCGCCAGGGCTGGGGGTTACCACAGTATCCTTCCAGTACAGTAAACACTGGATGTATGACAAACATAAATATGCTTTATTTATAAAATGCGTGTCTAGCAGTGTATGATACTAATATCTGAATCATAATACAAAGGCACTAATAAACAGTTATAATTTCAAATAAATATATTTGTTTAGTGTAGGCAAGAAAATAATTCTTTATGAAGTTACCGAAGTATACCGCATGACGTCAGTTAAAGTTATCTTTATTATTTACACATGGCACAGTTAGCTATGTTACGAATCGAAGAAAATACATAAAATATTTCGTACATATTATGATATGAATCGTATTTTTGTTGTGAAGTCGGTCTGTTCTAATATTTTTATTACAGCGCCACCTAGTAATTGCTCGAGATTTCTCGAAATTCTAGAAAGAACTAAAGCTAAACAATCCTCAGAGAGAACAAACATTTTTAGGAAAAAAAGACGAATACAATATTTTAATCTTTTCATGAAGTAACAAAAAACACAATAGGGCGGCGATGTCAACGACAAATCTTTTTTGGCAACAAATCGCGTAATTGATATTTAATATTTTTCATTATTAAAGCTAGTTGGTGTTTCACTGTAAGCCAATATGGGCAAAATATTCTTAATCACGTCTGGCCATCCCTAGTAATAAAAAATTTTTGTAAATTGCTGTTTTTGTTATTGCTTTTGGAGGCGATGATTTTAGAATTACAGTTATTAATATACATTTTAATTTTGGCTCAAACTTATAACCTTCGTATAATTAAAGAATAAGACCTATAATCCCAACGCATTATGTCTCAAAGCGGGTCGCAGAATTCATATTGCTATTTAAATGTACTTCGGTAACCACTGCATTCCAGACAAACTGTGAGTTTATTTGCTTGTATAAAACAAAAATGTTTGTGTTCTCTGAAGTGCCCTCTGTTGACGAATAGCCGTAATATATTTAAAATTCTCGAAAATTCTCCACGTGTTTATATTTATTCGTCGATAGATGGCGTTTGATCCATATTAAAGTAAATTAACACTATAACACAATTATATACATACATACTAATTTTATACATTCCGTCAACAAAATATCGGGAATGGATTGTTGTTGTTCCATATTTTACATTTTGGCGCGGAGTTTGAGTTGCATATATAATTTAAATTAAATACAGGGCTGTTTTTAATTAAATCATATCCAGTGTGTATTGCAAGCTTCATAATGGACAAAAACATCGAACAAAGAGTGTTTTAAATTTTGCATCACTAATGAAATTTAGTGTATTGGGTCACTGAAAACGTTATAGAAGACTTAATCTTTATCAAAAACATGCGCTTATCAGTGGTAAAAAGCGTTCAAAAGTGGTCGAGATGAAAATATGGAAGATTGCTTCGCTCTGGTAGATGTCTGCAACTAAAATTGATATCGCAACAGTGAACGAAGTAGTGACTCAAAATTCTCATTCAAGTTTGATTGAGAGAGCTGCCGAACTTTTTGTTTCTCACGAGTCGATCCATACCATTTTAATTAACCGCTAGGGTATGAAACAAGGTACCGCCCGACTGATCCCAATAAACTTGAAATTTTTCCAAATACTCAATCACACGAGTTGCTGAGGACATATTAGAACGAGTCAATTACGTCCCCACATTCATGAAATGCGCATTGCTACGAGTGACGAGACGTGGGTTTGGGACGAATTTGACATGCAAACTAGTCAATAAGCTTCAGACCGGCGCGGCGCCTTCTAGCTGAACCGTAACCGAAAGAACATCCCAAAGTCGATCAAAAATCAAAGTCATGTTAACTGTTTTCTTTAACTATTGCAGTGTTGTACTCTGGGAATTCACACTGGATGCTCAAACAGTAAGTAAATGAAGAATATTATTTGAACGATATGCGCCGTTTAAGAGAACAACTTCGACAAAAAGGGCAGATTTGTGGAAAGAAAGTTCTCGAAATTTTACACCACTATAATACGCCTTCACACAAGATCATCATTGTGAACAAATTTATTACCAAACACTCAACAAGTGCTATCTTGCAACCACCTTATTCGCCAGATATGGCCAGACATATCCGGCCGATTTCCTTCTTTTTCCCAAAACTCAAATTACCTCTTTGTGGTNTGGCACTTAATGAGTTACTTCGTGTTCTTTCAAACATGCTGCGGTGAAAAGTTTGTTGTACCATATTAGGTAATTTTGGTTTATTCGTAGGGTTGATTCCATATCCATCAGATCGCAAAGTTGTGCCCCCCCCAGAATACGAGGGGCTGCCTGAGTTAGACTCAGGGAGGGATTCTCCGGTATTACCGGTACCCTCCTGGGGTAGTTTCTTTTTCAAATTTGCATTCATTTGGCTTCCTTATTCTTCCTACTACTCTAGACGTTTTAGAGATTATTTAGATCCCCAGGCTTGCCATAGCCTCTTCCAACCAATTGCTTGGTAGGTTGTATGGTTATACCGCCATTTCTCGGTCGCCATTGCCTCGTTTGTTATCTAGCAGGGAGCACCACGGAAACCGATTGGTTTCCGCCGCCATCCGGCGCGCGCAGGTGAGGTTGACTGTAGGGTCGGTGAAGATGTTGTTACCGTTCTCCCCTAACTCCCCACTCGAGCCCATAGACATCTACAACGTAAATGCACCACCCACCTTGAGATATAAGTTCTAAAATCTCAGTATAGTTACAACGGCTGTCCCACCCTTCAAACCGAAACGCATTACTGCTTCATGGCAGAAATAGGCAGGGTGGTGGTACCTACCCGCGTGAACTCTCAAGACGTCCTACCACCAGTAAAAAGTCTTGTGAGTCACCAGTCTTGTGAGTCCGCACGGGCAGGTACCATCACAAATTTCTTATAAATATCGCTCCGAACGACCTTCCAACATCCGGTCACCGTCCTCGTCAAACACGTCGACGAAAGGGCTCGACGAGTGAATTAATAGACACAGCCCAATGAGTTTTTCGCCGGATCTTCTCAATGGGTCGCGTTTCCGATCCGGTGGTAGATTCTGCGAAGCACTGCTCTTTCTGGGGCCAGTGTTAGCAACACTTCCGGTTTGAGCCCCGTTAGCTCACCTACATGCTGGGGTCAAGCTGAAATAGCCTCTCACGTCTATCAGCATAGGTAAGAAAAAAAATTCCAACATCATGTACGACCTTATCATTCCGCAACGACCCTGACGCGACGTACACAGCTCTCAGCCATATAGGAATCCTAAAATCGATACGTCGCCGAAGGGGAGGAGTCTAGTACTCCCCAGAACGATCCCTTCTCAAACTGTACTCTCTCTCAATAATATAGAAATTATTTTTATTGTTGTAGCTGGTGGACAAATAAGCTCACTTTCCCCCTCCTTATAAGTGGTTACCGAAGCACACAATCACAATTCTAAGGTAATTAGATATATTGTTTTTTTGGCTATTCACATGGCCTCCGTATGTAATACTTTGATGTCTGTGGTCTCATGAGATTGGTTAAAAAATATCAAAACAATTTATTTCGCAATTAATTAATTAATTTATTCTATACACATTTTTCTGTAGTTAAAAAGGGATCGTCACGGTTGGGCCGCACTTAGAGCTCCCATGACATTGCCGATGTCCGTGACCCACAGTGACCACTTACTACCAGGCGAGTGACTGATCAGAATTGTCGTAAGTGTTGTTTTCCTTCTTCATGCTTCCTTCAACTCTTGTAAATGTAAACTGAAAACCTCGTCAGGTATTGTATGGATAGTTTTCATCGGCTGGTTCGTACCGCAGACAAACATTTAGCTGATGAACTTTAAAAGTAACAAGTAGTCCCGCAGTAGTCGAAATTGGAGTTGTAACTTTGTACACTATTATGATTTTATTTTATACTGTTCTTCTTCTTCTTCTTCTTCTTCGTCGCTTTCTTCATTGCTGAAGGTCGTGTCCCTGAAACTTGACCGTTGCCTGTCTCGTGAGCTGTTTCCATCTCGTCCGGTCCTCAGCTGCTCTGTTGGAGTTTGTATATTAAATGTAATGGCAGGCAACACTTGACACTTGATTAGATTTCGAATATTGGAATTATTTTAAATGTTTAAAAAAACAGATCATTGTATTCTCGTAAGAAAATGTCAGTGACTTCTCATCTAGACACGGCAAGACAAACATGTAATAGTTTTAATAAGTGAAAAATATAAAGATAATAATTGTATAATGGTTTAAAAGTGTTCAAGCAATCTGCAATATAATTATAATGAAGCAGTTGTGTTTTTAAATAGCCCCTCATCACCTAAAGAACCCAATCCCTCAAATTTAACCATCCAACAGGTTATGGGCCCAGACCAGAATTTATAAGGTAATATTTATTATAGTTTGCTGATTAAAACATCACCTACGCCTACAACATCACCATGGAAACGAAACTGTTTGTAAAATTTTTTCTTAGCAACCAATATGTAATGAATTTAATAAAATAAAACCAGTCAAAAACATGGAAAATGTTGTAAAACTTGGCTGGAAGACAAGAGATATGAGGTAATGGAAGGGAGAACAGTAACATAAGTAACAAATAAAGATAATCGTAAAGACGAAGTTGAAGTTTGAGAAGGTGAAATAGGAAGAAATGAAGAGTTAGTGGAGTTTGAGAAGGATATATTAGAGGAAATAATAGTAATGGAGTGTAATGAAGTTTGAGAAGGTGAAATAGGAAGAAATGAAGAGTTAGTGGAGTTCGAGAAGGTGATATTATAGGAAATAATACTAATGGAGTGTAATGAAGTAGAAATGCCGTAAAGTTCGAGAAGATGTTGTTAAAAGGCGTAGAGAAACAAATGAAAATGGAACAAATGATAGCAAATTAACAAATGAAAATCTGGTCATGGAAAATTTTGAGACTTTAAGTGTATTCATTTTAAAAAAGTGAACATGTGTTTCGGGAGAAATGGGTTAGTTTATAAGATTGATAGGGAAATTTAAATGCTATATACAACAGTTTATATAACTAAAAAGAGACAAGGATAATTCAAAAATTAAGGGGGTGCTCTTTTTCAACAGACATAAACAATTAAGGGGGTGATCATAAAAATATATATTTTTTTATTAATTATACTATAAATACAATAGATAGTCTAGCCGTGGAGGAAGTACACATTATTTGATACAAACATATTTACAGTCGTTTTTTAAAATCCTTTTGAGTCTCTTTTATAGTTTTGTTTTATTGTTGTTTTATAATAGATGTTAGGAATTTTGTTTTGTGTTATATTAAAATAATAGAACGGATATGTGCAAAAAGTGAGAAAATTTAAGAAGTGAGAAAAACAAAAGTTAATGGAAGGTTGTATGAATAATGTAAGATTGTATGTGTGATGTGAATTCAAATGTTGAATTTGTTGAAGTTGTGCGAGGTTATTTGTTATGAGTTATGTGGTTTGTGAGTGGAGTTGAAGGTGATTAAGGTTAAAGAAGTTAAGAGGGAGATTAACGTTAAATAAGTTGAGAAGGAGATAAAGGAGTTTAAAGGTAAAAGAGTCGAGTAGGAGTTTAAAGGTAAAAGAGTCGAGTAGGAGTTTAAAGGTAAAAGAGTCGAGTAGGAGTTTAAAGGTAATAGAGTCAAGAAGGAGTTAAAGGTTAGAGTCGAGAAGGAGTTAAAGGTTAGAGTCGAGAAGG